CTTATGATGGTAAATTTAGTGTAAATAAAGAGAGAAGTTAATGTTTAGCATTAGGTTTGTATATGAAAGCTAATTTTTTTTTTTATAAATTCTTACCTCGGCTGGAAAAGTTGCGTATAAAGATCTTACTGTATATGATATATCCACCTTTCAGCCCAATAAAATGGAGGTAAATGGATTTGTGCAACTTTAATAATGAGACTGTGCTTGTAGTGGAGTATTTTTACCATGTTATATTGTTATTAAAGCAACAATATTAGGCAAACACTAATAAAACGTCTTGGAGAATAAAATCTTGAGAAACATTTTCTTTCAAGTGTCTTTCTGCAGGTGGCGCTCTTTTCTCAGTCTGTCTGTTGAGATGGATCTCACTGGATCAGTGCTTTAGTTTGTTCTGAATGAACTGTACATGTGATCATACAGTGAGTGTTTAAAGACAAATAAACTGGATATATGTTAAACTCCTACAGCTGGCAGATAAAGATTATCATCACATACATTTATTTGATTATTTGCATGAAAATTGTAGAATAATCTTTTCTTTTGATGGTCTCTGGTAAAGTGGGACTAATGCCTGTGAAGGAAGAATTTATTACTCCAGATTGAGCTGGGTCACACACTCTAATCTCAGACCCCTACCTGTCCGACCATTACAGACTCATGGGAAAAAAAACTCTCTCACACACACATAAACACACACACACACACACACACACACACACACACTTTCCTCCTCCAAACTCACTTTTCTCACCGATTCCTCCGGCTCTCTTTCTCTCGCCCATAATCCCTCCTGGAATGTCAGACCTGTGTGTGAACCAGGCTGCTGTCTGACTGATATGAGTTTTTAAAGACTGAGACTGATACTGATCCTTGTGGATTGAAGATGCCGACAGATCTCCAGATCTTTAAATCTGACTACTTTTATGACAAATATGTTTAAGTATCCAGTATTCCTCTGTGAATTTTCTTCTAGTGGGTGTCGCAAAAGCCTCTGGAACAAATATTGTGCACATTAAACCTCTAAACAACTGATAGGAATACTAATATTTATCATAATTTGAGACAAAAAAACATATTTCCACTTCTTAATTCTGATTAAAGTCTCAGCTGAGGTTACAGGCTCCCTCCCTATTCATTATAAGTATGTAATCAATCAAACTCATCATATGAATCATATCAGGGGTGGAGCACACACAAAAACCACAGCTTTTAATTTGAATAAACCCGAAATTAATCACATAAATTCTTGTGAGCCATAAATAATAAGAAGATCCAGCCGACCAGACAGACAAAAACATTGTTTGTAGTAATTTGATTCCTGGGCGTAGAGGATCCAATAGGTCAGATGCCAAATGAGTGAGGTTTGTCACAAGATGCAACAACGTAGTTCTGCTCCGTTTATACTGAATAAACCTCAACGCTGGAATATAAAATGACACATTTTTTCTCACATATTATACTCTCTAATGTGTAAATACCATATCTAACTTACATTTTTTTAACTCTCTCTATATATATGAGCTATAAACAATAATATAAACAACTGTTTGCTATTTCTGTCCACTTTAAATGAAGTTAAAGTGATATCTGAGTTAAAATTACCACTTGTTAACGGAGGATATTAACGACTATATATATATAATATTATTATCTCGTTTTCTCACAAAGAAAGAACTTTTCTTGTTATAACAAGATAAGATGGTACTCTTATTCCTATAAAGAGACTTCTATTTGTTTCATTTTTAGTCACAACAACAAAAAATGTCATAATAACAACAAGAATATTTTGCTTTTTTGAGAATGATGGGAGAGCATCGTCCTTGAAGTGAGGGCCGACGTCTGTTAATGACATACTTTTGCATGTAGAAAGCTTCTGTGAGTTGAAA